CCACACTGTTCCCCAATAAAATAGCAACAACAACAACAACAAAAAACTAACCCTACTCTTACCACACAATCCAGCAATTATACTCCTTGATATTTACCCAAATGACTTGAAAACTTATGTCCACACAAAAACCTGTACATGAGTGTCTATCGTAGCTTTACTCATAGTTGCCAAAACTTGAAAGCAACCAAGGTGTCCTTCAGTAGGTGAATGGATAAAATACTGTGGTACATCAATACAATGGAATATTATTCAGCGATCAAAAGAAATGAGCTATTGTGCCAAGAAAAGAACACACAGAGGGAACTTAAATGCATATTGCTGAGTGAAAGAAATCAATTTGAAAAGCCAACATACTATATGATTTCAACTATATGACATTCCAGAAAGGGCAAAATTATGGAGGCCGTAAAAAGATCAGAGGTTGCCAGGGGAGAGGGAAGAGAAGGGGGAGGAACCCAGGGTCTCTATTATTTCTACAACTGCACATAAATCTATAATTAGTGGAAAATAAGTTTAATTTTTAAAAATTTCATTAGGCTCATTTTTCATCTTCTTACTGCAGGCAATAGTTTTGCCAGTTGTTTTATTACCACATAAGTCACCACATTTCAAGGCTTCAATATAATTTCCTAGTTAATTTAGTATCCCAGATTCCCCACAATGCCACCAGCCTCAAATGTCACTCTAGGCCTTTTTGAGGTGGGGGAGAGAGGGAATGTCATTATTCCTGGCATGTGAAGAAAACCTGCCTACCTACCAGAGAATGAAAACAAAGAAAACAAGAGAAAAATCAAATTTATAATTTCAGTTCCTAAAGCCCTGGGCTGCCTTTATTTCTGGGAATTACTTCAATGGCCATTTTTTTTAAAAGCACAATTAAATTGTTTTTTATTAAAGTGCATGAATTGTATATATACTGCTTAATGAAATTTTAAATTAGTAACTTTAGTTTTAGAGCAGTTTTAGGTTTATAGAAAAATGAAGCGGAAAGTACAGACAGTTCCTATATTCCCCCTATCCCTCCATCCTACTTTCCCTACCACTAACATCTTCCATTAGTCTGGTACCTTTGCTACAATTGATGAGCCAATGTTGATACATTACTATTAACTAAAGTTCATAGTTTATATTAGGGCTCACTCTTGTGTTTTACATTTTATGAATTTTGTCAAACATATAATGCCATACATCCATCATTCTAGTATCCCACTGAATAGTGTCATTACCCTAAATGTCTCCAGTGCTGTCATTTAAAATGCTTTTCCCTTATAAGTAAGGTGTCAATTGTCTTTAGTTCCACATGTTTATGATTTGTATTGGCATAGATTTTTTTGGATATATCTTATTGGGGTTCACTCAGATCCTTGAATCTGTAGGTTATGTCTCTTGCTAAATTTGGAAAGTTTTTAGCCATTATTTCTTTACGTACTTTTTCAGCCCTACACTTTCTACTCTTCTCTTAAACTCTAATGAAACAAACGTTAGATTTTTGTGAGTCTCACAGGCCCCTAAGGCTCTGTTTATTTATTTTTTCAGTTTATTTTCTATCTCAGATTATGTAATTTTTATTACTCCTTTATTCCCTACATTCTGCTTTGAAGCCTAGCCACTGTTTGTTTGGTTCTTCTTTATAGCCTCTATTTCATTGTTGAGATTTTAAAAATTTATTTGTTGGAGCTTTCTATGTTTAAAACTTGTTTCAAATGTGTTTGTAATTGTTTGTTGCATTTTTGTCATACGGCTTTGAAATCTTTGTCAGATAATTCTAACATCTCGGACATCTCACTGTTGTTATCTATTGGTTGCCTTTTTTCATTCAATTTGAGATTTACCTCATTCTTGGTACAACAAGTGGTTTTCAAATGAAATCTGGGAATTTCTCCTATTATGTTACATGACTCTATATCTTATATAAACCTTTGGTTTTAACTTGCTTTCCTGATACCACTCCAGCAGGGGAAAAGGGTTGCGAACTTGTTATTGCAATGTCTTGGTTTATAGTGATTTGTATTTTGCTGAAGCAGATGTTTCAATCATATTCTACAAAAGCAGTGTAAAAGGTGTCACTTAACTAGTGAGAATAGACAAAAAATAATCTTTCAAATCCCCAAATGTCTTGACTCTCTAGTTTTATTTTATCAGACATTTTGTGGGCAAATTACATAGAACAGTTGCAAATCTCATATGAAGCCGGCTCCTCTCAATGTCCATTTCAGTACAGAGGCTTACTAAAACACACACACACACACACACACACACACACACACGCACAAAACCAGTCCCAAACCAAGAATAATTGAAATGAATTAAAACATTTATTGGCATCTCTCAAAAAAATGGGATCCAATTCAAATCCCACGAAAAACTGCTTAAAGCTTTTTCTCCCCATGTCTTTCACATCTAGTCTCCTACAGAAACCCACGTTTAAGGTCTGGTTTTTTTTTCCCTATTCTCTTCCTTCATTTTACTTTTTAATAGAGAAATTGCACATTTGTCACCCATAGGCCAAATTTGGCCAAAGTATGCATTTAATTTGACACAATGTTTTAAAAGCAAATTCAATTAGTTGTCAACATTTATAAATTGGGAAATGACACATAAGTATCTGTGTATATCTAATTTCTCTTGAAAAATTTGAAAGTTTGGCAAAGTATTGCCTTCATTTTATAAGTGATTTGTAGTGGATATGACTGCCTCCTTCAAATCCTATATGTCCCTGCAGTTTGCTACACTTTACCGCTCCCTATCGATTACAATGGCTCATTTTACTATTTATGTTCTAGGCCTAGCCTCTATAGATATTGGAGTTTGTGACCTTTTAATGTTGTGCTTTCTTATGTAATTAGCCTTTTTCAGATTCGAATTTTGCAACTTTTTCTATTTATTATATTGGGTCACATAACAAGAATTCTGAGAGCCCCACAGGATCCCTTGAGAACTGTCAAGAGTCCAGAGACGAGCTGTAGTCTTTTGCGCACTATAAACCTAATAAAATCCCTGTGGAGATCTCTACCTACTAAAAAGGAGGGTAGACTCAAACAACTGGTCACACTTTGTGTACATAAGGCCCCTTGTGGGGAAAAAATCCTAGCTCTAAGAGAGAGTAAAGGGGGAAAATGCTGGACTATCTGTGCCTATGGCTGTTAGAAAAGTAGTGATTTACAAAACTGGTCTTCCTAGAAAAAGGAAAAGGAGCTAGAATGAGAAAAACAGATAGTACAGTAATTTCAATGGGACCTATAAGAAGGAATTACAGTTTCTATGCCTTACCACAAATCAACTGATGAATTGAGAGCTGTAACTCTCCCTGGAAACGGCTCCTGTAGGGTTATGTACCTTGACCGTGGGAAAAAACAAACAAATAAAAAAACTTGTGCTAACTTCAGTTTATTTCTTTACTCTGCCCTTAAATCTTTATTTGTATTTCTCAAAGATCTCAATCATATTAAAGATACTGAAACAACTTTGTAGTATTTATCTTTACTACAATTAATTTTCTTCCTAAAATACAAGAATTCCCCATCCCCTTCAAAAGGGATAGCTTCAATTAAAATGTCAACCTAAAAACAAAACCACAAAAATCAAAAGCTGTGTTTGGGGTACATATACATGTATGGGTTTTTGAATTATATTTCAGTAATCCTCTACCTAACAAGAGAAAGTAACAACATGTACGTGGTTTATAAAATAGAGTGAAGGCTAGTTGCTTGAATATGGTTATATATTCATTATCACATATTAGCCTTTGTTTCTTTTTAACCTGTTATTTTCAGAAAGCAGCAGATCTACTTAGTGGATTAATTAGTAATATTAATTAAATAATTTTTTATTGTTTATACTACTATGATGTCAGATATAACAATAATTTAGACCAGAGTAGGCAAGCATATTACACCTCTACGAAGTCACTAAGTGTATATATATATACATATATATATATATATATATGTGTGTATATATATATATATA